ATGGTGGTGCGCGTGAAGAGAGGAGTACGCTTCAGACTGACTAGTATCTAAAGTGTATACTCAGTTAACTGATGATATAGATCCACCGTTCAAGGGCCTTAAAAATAAGTAACGGCAATATATTTGCATATATTAGTCTGTATTTCGGATATCTTACAAAGGAGTGTGTTCTGAGACTTTGATCCTATACTAAAAGTAGGCATTACATTTCCAATCTGACACGCTCAGTGTAGTGTGCCTAGTGTTTACTAGTCAACTTACTCGTGTGCGCATGTGTAGGAGGAAGCGTAGGTGTTTCTAGTTTGTATAGCGTACACACGATGCGTGTGCTCGAGTAGACAAGATCAGAGCGCTATAGCGTAAAATGAGATCTGTATTGTGTTTTAAGGAGGTTCCTCACTTAACTACTTATCGAATATCTAAGGGACAGTCAGGTGGCTGGCAGTGATTCGCTTCTCGGATTGGTCGAGATGTGGCTCACTCTACCAGTAGGATCCCTTCAAATGAAGGCTTTGTGTGGGGACACACCAAGACGTGAAACCTCTAACTCTAGACGATTAGAATTACGGTTAGATTTCTGGTAACCCCGTTACATCAGCACCCGCCGTTAAGATTTGGTCACAACACGTCAAACGTAGCTAGGACCGTCAAGCCTTCGAGAGAACTCCGTGCTCATTGCAAAATGAACACACCTCTGTAAACACCAGCGTATTCGCCAGTGTCCGCGTCGACTTTAGTGTCGATGCCTGCTTCTGCTCCTGTGTCGGCTACAACACCGAAACCCTTAGGCGATACGACAGAGGAGAACTTCTATGACGACAAGTACTTCGAACTCCAAGAGAAGAAGGGCGCTGGGGCCGTGAAGGTAGCCAGTCCGTAGACTGTCTTCGATGGTTCGTCGGTCCTCTCGACAGCTTATAGCGATCAAGTCGCCTCGGTCCGCAAGCGCTTCATGGAGTAACCCGTTACCCCTGTCGAACAACGCGTTCACGAAGGTTCAGTGAACGCGGGTATTCCTTGTGCAGTGCCTGTGGGCATGCCTTATTCGTATTATCTTATTCATACTCCCCGCATCTGGGAGCGATACATTACCGGATACAAGACCAACCGTGTACCAGGCAATGTTTAGGAGCTACGTGATCAACTCGCTTGCATTCGTCAGCAACTTTTTTGTGCCTGAGCATAACACTTCGTAACACTGCGAGGAGCAGTGTTACGACTCCAGACCATGGTGGGTTTCGTACTTCTTCATCATTTCCGGAACTTCCATCATCATGTCGTGACGGGGAAACCATGTATCTTGGTGGAGAGCTGATTGTATCCCATGAATACGAAAATGAACCGCACCTCGGTTCGTCTTAGGACTTATATGATCAACAATCCGATCCACCTCCCGGTGGATCGTACCACGGAAAGAGTTATGCTTCTGGCGGCAATGGCGGACATTCATCATATCGTCAACCCTAGAGTTGACCATAGTCTTCAGTCGCTCTACGCTCGCGTGGATGCTTTTGAACGCAATCGGGCTACTTAGATCACTGAGCCGAAGCAGCAACTAAACTTGCAGAAGGCTTACCTGGCTGAAGCGGCTCAGACAACCTCAAACATCCGTGTTGAGATGTCGGAACAAGTTGGCCTTCTTCAGGAGAAGGTAAAGATCTTACCGAAAAGCTGAAAATTGTCCTTGGCGAGCCAACACGGCTGGATTACTCAGGTAGCACGTAGGCTTCAAGCGCCCAACGTCTAACGTTGGATGGAGTCTCATGTCGGAAAGTAGTTCCAATGTGTATGCGCTGCCGTGATTTTCAGCCACGGAGAACAGGCCGATGCAGTGCAGAGCAATCCTGCTGGCGCCGAATCCGGAATCTACATGTTTAGACACGGTTTGAGTAGATAACCAAACCAATGAACCAATTTCAAATCTATTTGTGTTGTCCCCTGCCATCATTGTCCGCTTCCGTTTCTGCCTATCTGCAGAAGCTGCAATTGTATCTTGTACAAACCGAATGACAGCTTATCGTTCCTGGACAAAATTCATTGCTTGAAAGCTGAATCCTGGGCCCAACCTATTTCCTTATCTGCGTCCATGCCCGGCACAGACTGGCCACTTGTGTTCGCACCAGTTCCAGACTGCTCGTGGCTCTCTGTGGTGTCAATGCCCGGTGATCGCAACAGGCCTAGTCTCTGTATAATTATTCTCAGTATCGATACCCGTCATCGCTACATCACGTGTGTATGGAACATGCCCGGCCTGTGTGTGCGTATTCACGGTGTCAGTCCCCGCAAAAACACGTTGGCCTTGGTCGAAGCATGTTTCGCCTTCTCGTTGTTCTTCATATTGATAGTGCCCGGCACTGACATGTCGCCTTGTTGTGTGCCGGCTCTCCCTCTCACACGTGTTATAGAAGCAGATAGACCCGTATCAGATGTATTCTCCGGTTGTTTGAGCGCAACCGTATATGTTCTCTACTTAAGGAGGAAGCCACCGCGCCGAGCGTGCTCGGACGGCGTGGATGCTGCATGGCTTTCACGGAGAACGGTCTATGCCCAGTCAAGGCATACACCGCGTTGACAATCGCGAACATAATCGCGAACGCCGCCATCGTCAAATAACGCTCTAGTTGGGAAACGACAGGGTGTATCTCTTCAGCAAGTCCACGAACATGCGGTTCACGTGCTCGTTAACCTCGTCGGTCAGAGAATGATCCACAGTCCACATTAAAACCTGCGTTCCAAACTGTGTGAATACTACGCGCGGGTCGCAGTCCGACATACGTCGCTGAACATCTCATGGCGTTTGAACACCATGCCGACGAACAGACGTGCTCTCTGTACGGAGGTCACCTCCGCCGGGACATCAGCGAGATGCACCAACCTGCTCAAACGGTCAAAAACGACCATGATAACAGTCTCCTGGCTGAACGCGCGTGGAAGGTCAAACACGAAGTCCATCGAACCGGACTCCTAACACTTCATCGGTGTCGGCAGTGGCTGCAGAGGCGCCTGCGACGGAGGTGCAGGTTTCACTTGCTGACAAACATCCCAAGTATGTACGTACTTGCGTACCTACTTGTAATGGTAGTTCCACTAGAAGTATCTTATGAGAAGAGATTTCGTCTTATCGAGTCCTGGATGTCCTTCTGTGGTACATCCTGATACTCGTACATGATCCTGCTTCCAAGGTCTAAACCATTCGGCACGACAATGCGGTCCGCGTTGCCGTCAACATGATACCGGTGTCCACTCGCTTGTAGAGAAGGGACCAACTGCCAACGTGCTTTGTCGGAAGGAGCTGATAGAAACATGATCAACCACTTCGCATCTGCGTCATGCGCATACGTGGCTTTTACCTCGTCCATCACGGACGACGTCGGTGTGTATGTCCGAGCGACGTCAATCAGATTGACGTCAACTGTCTTGACAGCATAATCGGGCTGTCATGACAACACGTCCGCGACGACCTCCCGGGTTTTTACTCGACCCGGAAGAAGTACTATTTGAAAAAAGGACAACCATTTTGCCGTTCGTTGCGACAGGCATCAAGGCTGCACAGCCTCCGCAACGACGTGTGGTCTGTATAGACCACGAACGACGTATTGACAAATAAGTGCACTCGAAGCTTCGCGAGTGCGTACTTCATGACAAGCAGTCCCTTGTCACGTACCGGGTAATTTTGCTCGACTAGCTTTACGTGACGCGACTGGTAGCAGCCGACGCGATTCCGACCCTCGCGATCGAGTTGCATCCACGCACATCCGATCGCAAAACCGGATGCGTCATATACTACGTGAAAAGGACGATCTTGATCGGCCTCAGCCAAGTTCGGCACTTCGGTCAAGTCCGGCTTGACTGCATCCAACGTCTGCTGACACACAACAGTCTACTCCCTTGCAGCTTCTTTCTTCTGAAGCTGCGGCAGCAGATTAATTTAGCCTGCGTAGTAGTCTACGTACTTGCACAATTACGCGACAAGGCCAAGAAACCACCGCCGTTCCTTTACGTTGGATGGCATTGGTCATTCATCATCATTTGATCATTCTGACCTTCTCGGGGTCAGGGCATTCGCCAGTATTCCCGAGGAGACACCCCAGGACAGATATCTCGCTCGCATCGAATGTGCACTTCTTCAGGGTCTCCTAGAGTTTGTACTTGCTCATGAGACCAAATCATTTCTGGATATGCTCTTTTTGAATCTCGGCGCCCGCCTTCTCGTTTACAGCCCGCCTGTGAACAAGAAGACGGACACACGTACATATCGTCAAAATTACTCGGGGAGAAGTCGTGCACCAATGAATGCGCCAGACATCTATTGAATCTTGTAGGGGTGTTCTTCAGCCTTTGTGGCATACCTAACAACTCCCAAAGCATACCGCTTGGCGTGCTTACCGCCGTGAGAGACATATCGCTCCGACGCATAACGATATGGTAGAACCCGTCTTTCAGAAAAAAGAGGACCGTAGATGGGACTTCTTGGCATCGAATCAAAAATAATATTTTTTTGAGGTATCGGCGTTTGTGCCGGTAGCGTTCAGCGTACGGTATGCGGAGACGATGTGCCAACCACCACGTGGCTTCTTGACACAGAACGTTGATGTGCTGTGTGGAGACTTTGATTCCCGCACTTGTCCTACCTAGCGACGACTTTCGAAGAAGATCGGCATCATTGCACCCGTGGCAGTGGCCACTGCCGCGTCACGCAATACTTCGTCCCGTTACGAGATCACTTGCATTCGGTATTTCTTTATTCTGCGGAAGCTCCGCAAGAATCTCGTCCGGGAACACATCTCAATACGGTAATAAGGGCTCTACTTCAGTGAGTCTTAACTCCACTCTTCGAAGCGTTCCTTCTTCGCCTTGGCACTGAGAGTATTTTCATGCTGGGTGGCGCTTCCAGCGAATGGTTGTCTCAACTCCTTTGCTTCACTTGTCATTTTTTCGCGGTACGAAACAATACACAGCTAATCGATGCGTTCATCGTACAAATCCTTTGCGAAGCGCTTTCAGCTCATGACCGGATGCGAGGTCAAGTCCGTATCTGTCGAAGGGTTTTCTAACTTCATCGTCTTGTACTGATACCCAGCACAGGCTCCCTTCAAGACGTTCAACGTCTCGATGGCCACTGTCAGTTCATCCGTCTGCTCAACATACATACTTTGATGAGTCTTGATCCCAGCCCGAGATTTGCGCGGCGTGTTAAGCTTGTGCTGTCGCTTCTTTTTGTGAATCCAGGTCCACTTGTTCTCGTCCAGGCCTGCCATGCATGAATGTTTCTTGAACCCATCGGCAGACATTCCAGTCTGCGGGTTTTCGCCGGCGTGTTCTTATACCCACGTGCACGCGTCATCAAGCCCGGCTTTATCGTGCCCTGCTTCAGGCAGGCCGGCAGGCCGGCTGCACGACAACACGCAAGCTTTCAACCGTCCACACAGCTTGCCACATCGGATCCCAGGGTCGATGCATTGTCGTCACCTCGACCCCTCACGACAGAGTTTCCTCTAGGTTTCGATATTGAGAGCGTATCAACTCCAGGTGTCGACACCGTGTTGTCATCTCAACCCTTTACGGCGGAGAATTTCTTGGTAGTGTCTGGTCCCAGTCAAAACCCCTTTTCTGTCAACGACTCCCGGAGTAGCTACAGTCCGTGCGCTCCAAGAGCTACGACTGGAGACAGCGATATGAACCACTATCTCTTATGGAGGTTCGGATGCACGGTTAGGTGTATCCGCTGCGCTAACCATGTCATCTCTCTCTATTGCGAGCGGCATCCGAAGCGCACAACTGCACGCTTCTCCCAGGCGATGTCAGGATCCTGTCGTGCAAGCCCGGACATGCCAACACCTTGCCGAACTTGTCATCCAAGTCAAAGACGAGAAGTTTTTCCACAAACACCCGATGTTTGTACGAGAAACGCCGAATTTGGGCATGCTTCTCAGCCTTCATGATAGGGTCCGTTGTAAACCAAAATTCCAACTGACTTTTAGGCAGATGTGATACGTTCGCCTTCTGTTTTGCCTATCTCAGGCTAAACTCCTTCTATTTGGAGAGGGTAATCCCAGCATCGAGATTGCTCGGGTACCCTCAGAAAAGATAGGTCTTTACAAACCTATTCTTCAATCCCTTCATCAATGTGACGAATTTGGACGCCTCGCCCTCCGGGTCGGTCACGACGTTCGACACTAAGTACCGTTCCCATTGGTAGGAAGCATGTACATCTTGCTTACCTGCCGCAGATCGAGAAATTCCACTCTCGACCAGAACTCATTCTGGGGGACTTAAACGCGAGTTTGAGCTCCCCCTTGAAGGTCTGGTACGTGTTGTACCATGTAGGATCAGTGAGTCGCCCCCGTAAGCCCAACACCTCTCGCGTACACCAAGCAAAACCTGGTGAAGGCAACTTTCGCCAATGTGTCGACGAAACGACGATTCGTAATGACTGTGTCAAGTTTGACAAACCAGCAGAGCAGGATCTCGCCTTCTCTGCCCAGGTGCTACTGACACGTAATTTTAGATATTACTTCTGCGGTGTCTCCCCGGGAGACAGCTTAGCGGCGACAATCTCGACTTGCTCACTCATGATGAACCTCAGAGCAACACCATGTTCCTCCGTCGACGATAGCGAGCGCAGAATTGTCGCTCCGACTGCCTCTCCAATGCTTGTCGACAGATGTTGGAGAGACCCCCACTCTGAAACCGCCAGATGAGGCAGTCCGGACGGCCCCATGCGAATCAGACGTGCTCAGGCTTCCGACCGATGTTCCGTTCATCGGGAGATCCGTGTTCTTATATCATACGAACTACAAGGTGTAGTGTGCCTAGTGTTTACTAGTCAACTTACTTGTGTGCGCATGTGTAGGAGGAAGCGTAGGTGTTTCTAGTTTGTATAGCGTACACACGATGCGTGTGCTCGAGTAGACAAGATCAGAGCGCTATAGCGTAAAATGAGATCTGTATTGTGTTTTAAGGAGGTTCCTCACTTAACTACTTATCGAATATCTAAGGGACAGTCAGGTGGCTGGCAGTGATTCGCTTCTCGGATTGGTCGAGATGTGGCTCACTCTACCAGTAGGATCCCTTCAAATGAATGCTTTTTGTGAGGACAAACCAAGACGTATAACCTCTAACTTTAACCGATTAGAATTACGGTTAAAGTTTCTGGTAACCCCGTTACACTCAGTTCTTCCTTTAACCACCAACCCGGAAGGTAGTCAGGCTGCCATCACGACAGAACCCAAAAGTACTCAAAAGGGCCACACACTGATGCTGGAATGTTCACAAGTCAGTGTTTATGCCCCTAATCCCAGATACTATATCAATTATCTAGACCGCTGGGCTACCGCACTATACACTTGCGGCGGAAAATGTTCACCGACCTCGCCACACAGCGAGAGGGTCGGCGGCGGTCAAGACTTTTTAATCATTATCTACTTGATTTCGCATAAATACAGATTCCATCTTGCTTATCTACACCCGCACGTGATCCTCGTCTTGATCCTTGCCAGTAAATTTCTTGAGATCCGAGATCACCGAGATTCGAACACTCTCATCATGTTGAAACCTATGAATCCAGTAGCGACGGTAGGTACCGTGGCTTGTGTAAACGTTGGAATCTACCTCGTTGGGATCGTACTCCCAGCGAGATCCACGATCGGAGGACTGAATGGATTCCATCTCGACATATTGTGATAATTGATTTTGCGGTTGCATCTCAGCTGCATCTTTAGTCGCCATGCGCTCATCAGGCAAGTATCGGTCCACCACAGCATTGAAGAATGACGACAAGGTACCGACCTATCGATTTGAGCTTTCAGAGATTTTGGTTTGACCAGTCGGTACTGATCCGTTATCACGGCGACGGTTTCTAGCTGGACTAAAGTGGGGGATCTTGAATCTTGCCTCAGGCGTCAATGTTCCCGAAGATCATAGGACATACGTCTCTGTGGCGTCGAGGAAATGTCGGTTCCATCTTCCGCAGCTGATGCATAAGTGGTGACACTGTCAAGTTCGGTAGTGATCAATAGCAGTGAAGCTGGGCTCTTGGGCTCCTCCTCGACGTGGATCGTCAGCTTTTCGAACAGTATGTGTCTCGGATAAAATCGAATTCCAAGTAAAAGACAGCGTCTGTATCGAAAGGTCCGGGTACCATGTTTGCTTCTTTCGACATATGAACCAGCCTCGTGACTGCATCGATGCTGCCGGAACCTTCAGGATCTTTCGGATCCGCTATCGGCTTCATCCTCAACGTCCGTGGTGTAAGAACTCGCGTTGCTAATTGTGGTGATACATGGATATCAGATTTTTTTCTGATCAGTTGGATCCGCATCATTGTGGTGGATCGGGATCAACAAGATCTTCTGGAATATTAGGCCCGGATTACCACTGTGCCCAGGACATCGATTATAGGAGGGGTACTCCTATTGACCCGAACTTCCTCATCTTGTTTACCCGTCGGTAGGGCTGGATTTTGCTCCTCCGGTAACGGCAGAAAAAAACCAAGTGTTGAAGATCTTTAACAAAACGCAGGGATGTTGTAAACAGCGTGGAAAGTTTTCGCTAAGTAGCCAGGTAAGCTGATCTGGAGTCTGCGTGAGTTTGACTACTCACGTAAATTGCCATGGTGTGTGGACTTTCTTTGGTTGTTGTTAATTTTGCGATCTCTTTGAATTGCTTGTAGTCTAATATGAGCGGGGTTTTGGTAGTAGTTGAAATATCGATGAAAGCACGGTCAAACACTAAATGCCGTGGACCAGAGCTTGCATGTATAGAATAAGTACTAGGTAGTTGGATCTGGCCAATATATTATCCAGTTATCCGAACTACGCTAAATACAATATTCTGAACACGCGATCACCTTGAAGGGCCAATGATTGTCTTGATCTGTGGTGTCCGTAATGCACTAAGTGTGGGTCAAATAAAGGAATCAGCGATTTGTGCCCAATGATGTAATTTCAGTAATTCCTAAGTACCTGATCCTAGCTCGCCCTATCGTCTACTATATTGATCCATGTACGACATTTCTAGTAACCGCTTTTTTTCGGACGTTGATGCAAATTCCCGATTACATACCTTGATAACTTGATCCGAATTGTCATGTGTAATCATATCCGGCTCAGATGTAGTCGTACCCAAATCAGGTACCTATAATTAGGGCAGCCCAGATTGATTCAATTGTCTCGTATCAGCACGATCTGAGTCCACATCTGGATCGACGGTAATTACCGTAGATCGCGGGATACCTGCCATTTCTATTAATCCGGTCATTTTCATTCCGCAATTTTCTGGAACCTACTTCACAACAATAGGAAGAGTCGGCGGTCAGCACGCCCACGGGAACTGGAACTGGGGTAACTTGTTCCAATAGTAGACATCCATGAACAACAAGCCCATGAGTAGCGCGGTGGATACGGTCAGCGGCAGACCTAAAAGTAACGAAGAGGTTGTAAATGGCCTGGTCAGTCTCAAGACTACTAACAGTACTGTGATTTGGCATCGGTGGCACGGTCAGCAGCTTGGACCGGCGCACAGCGAAAAACAGCTCTGACAGCGAAGGCACGGATCAGTGAAACATAGATGGGTATCCGAACATTTTGTTGATACGAGGAGCTGGTGCCGAAATGAAATGTTGAGACGGGGCTAGATCTCTAATGATTTTGTTTTAAAGGGACTACTGAGACTACGGATCCCGACATATTGGCGACGATCGAGGTAGGTCAAGTAAGGATCTGGATCCGGTGGATCCGACAAGGCGGTATCTACATCAGATAGTAAAGCCCAGATTCTGAAGCAAAGTTCTGCTCTCATAGAACCGGTAATCAGACACAGGATCGTGTGCTGTAGTTATATGTCAGGATATGGTATAATATATAGGAATAACAGAGCATCTAATTTGCATCATTGGGCACAAGTGATTGTTTTTATCCACACTATCGGGAAATTACATTGACCCTACAAGGTGTTGGCGTATTTAAACATATGCCATAGTGTTAGTTTAGATAACACGATAATACCCTCGACGGATCCGACTACTTAGTGACTTTTTCTATACCTGAAAGTGCCGGGTCCACGACAATTATTGCTAGGTCGCCGATCATTCGATCGCTCAATAACAACTCAAAATCCAGTCATTAGATGCTGCAAGTAGGTAAAGAAATCCCGAAATTGCTGACAATCAAGATCACAAGGACAGCACTTCAATTTAATCCAACCTGACCTGGATCCAGATCCGAACCCCGGTGATCTACATTCGAGTTATCGTGTCAACCCCAGATTCCCATAACAGGCTGGAGTGCGAATCTTTCTGCGCTGCTAATCACACTCATCCTTCTCGTCAATCTTCATCACTTTGATAATATCCTGGCCTTATCGGAGAAACAAGATCCAGCACTACCGATGTGTACACAAAGTGAGGAAGCGCAGCGGATCACTGATCATAGGAGTACACCTTCTTTTAGTCGGCGTCCTAG